CCCCAGCATCAAGTACATCATTGGGAAGGACACCTGGGTGGAGCTGTGGCCCGAAGCGGACGAATGCCAGGACGAGGAGAACCAGGCAGTGTGCCGGGACCTGGCCAGCTTCACAGAGAACATGGTCGTGTTTGGCTGTCCCAACTGAGCCCCCGTCGCGGTCCCCACGACGAGTAAAGCTTTCGTTGTATTCCACGTGCGCTCCCAAAGTGCGGAGGTCTTTGCGGGAGGGAAGGGGCGGGACGGCCCCGGCTGCGGCACCGCATCTCAGCCCCACCCTGCCCAGCTCCGAGGCCTGTCCTCTGCGTTCCCGCCGTGCCTCCGCCCTCGCGGCCTCCCCCCAGTCCCCACCCACTCGCTCACTCGCCTCCTCGCTGCATCCTCCCCTGAATTTCTGCCACATTCTCACCTGGCTCTTTACCTCCTCTCTTCCCTGCGTCCTCGACCACATCCATCTGCATTTTTTGCGTCCTCACTGGGCCACCCCCCCCACACACACCTCTGCAACCTTATCTGTGCCTTTACTTCTATTTTCCCCTGTCTTTCCACCTGCATTCTCACCTGTGTATCGGGGGCCCCACCGCATTTTTACCTACCTTCTTCCCCGGATCCCTTCCTGTCTTCCTACCAGCACCTTTGTCTATATTGTCGCCTGCACAGTCACCTGCCTTCTGGCCTGCGCCTTCTGCTGCGTCCTTACCGGTGTCTTCCTCCACGTGGTAACCCTACAGTCCCCCCTCCTTCCTCACCTGCGCCCGCACCCGCTCTGTCACCCGCATATGCCTCCTTCCCAGCTCCCTCTCTCCATTAGCTGTCTCGCCTGCCTTCCCCTGTGCCCTCTCGGCTCACCCCACCCTCCCGGTCGCCACTTCTAGCTGGGCCTGAGCAGGCTCCTCGGTGCTTCTGCAGGCCCGGGGGCGGCTGTGCCCAGGAGGGGGCGGTGTGGCGCGGGCAGAGCGACATTTCCAGTGGTGCAGCTGGCAGGAGGGAGGGGAAGGCGTGAGTCAGCAGCCCAGGAGAGAGGGCAGGGGCTGTGGCTGTCACAACGTCACCAGAACTGCGTGGGGTAGCGGGGATGGGATGACAGCCACCAGGTCGGGTGGAACTACTGGTTGCAAAGTGAAACTGGGGCTCCAAAGGCCCCATCTAACCTCTAGATCCTTGAAGACTGTTGAGGGTGGGATCCAAGCTCAGGGCTCTGGATTTAGTCATCATGGAAAAAGCCCTTCAGCCTGGAAGTCACCCCAGCACAGCCCTCTTGCCCTAACAGCCCCAGGTCCTAGAAACCTCCACCTCCCACTTCCAGGATTATGGGGAAACACATTCACAGCCCACCCCTGCTTCCTCCAGCCCCAGATTGCCAGAGACTTCTGTGAAAGGGAGACTCAAAGACCCTCATCACTCACTAGGTGTCCCAGCTGACATCTGCCTGCCACTCCCCCATCTTCCCATTTCTTTTCGTGCTTATTTCCCCTTTCCCCTGCCCTGGGGTCCATTTTCTTCATTTCTTTAACACATGGGTTTTTGTTTTGCTTGAGCACCTGTGGTTCTAGGCTGTGAACATTCTGAAGACAGCATGGAGTTGATTTCAGACAGTGAGGAAAGGAGAACAGGGCAATGAGAGAAGCCTGCCTGTGATAGGGCCACCAGTAAAGGTCATTTAGATGGAGGGATGCTTCATTTCATGTGTGAACTTAGCTGGGCGATGGAGACCAGCCATTTGGTAAAACACCAGCTAAATGTAGCTGTGAAAGTATTTTTAAAAATGGGATTCACACCTATAGCTAGTTGACTTTAAAAGCAATTTACCTTTGATAATGTGAGTGGGCCTCATCCAATCAATTGAGGGGATGAAAAAATAAATCAGGTTTCCTGCAGAAAAAGGAATTCAGAACAGCAGTGTAGAAATTCTGCCTGAGTTTCTAGCCTTCAGACTACAGGCTGCAACACCAGCTCAACTGAATCTCCAGCCCACTGGCTTCTCCAGTGGATTTCGGACTTGCCAAGCCACACAATTACATGAGCCAACTCCTTAAAATAAGTCTGTCTCTCTGTCTCTCCATATGCAAATAGATAGATGATATAGATTAAATATAGATATAGATTAGTTCTAGATATAGCTATAGATATAAATTAGATATAGATACAGATGTATAGATGTAGATATATTATTGGTTCTGTTTCTCTGGAAATCCCTGCCTAATACAGGTGGTCAGGAAAGACGGGGTTCTTGAGTCAAGACATAGATGACAAAGAGGATGTGGGGAAGACTGTTCCAGGCAGAGGGAACAGTAAATGCAAAGGCTCTGAGATACCTGTTGCAAGATGAGCAAGGATACAAGGGCTTCAAGATAGTGGCAATCACTTAGTATCTATTCTAAGCTCAGGGGATGGCGAGCTTTTTCTCTAAAGGGCAAGATAGTAAATATTTTAGGCTTTGAGGGGTGAGAGATAAAACCAAAGACATTATGAAGGTACTTCCACCCTGCCATGCCCTATTTGCTTGGGATGGGCCACTGGGCTGGGGGGCACGATGTGAGCCCCCCTGCTGGAGACATTCTCTGGATGAAGAGTGACCAGGCTGAGGCTTGGCAGTCCAAGCAGGTGGGGGAGGTGAGGAGAGACCCCCAAGGTCAGTTTCTATCTCTGCTCCAGATCTCAGCCAGCCTGTCTCTCCCAGGACCCAGCTGTCTCATCTAGATTAGCTGGCCAGAGGCAAGGTGACATGTTGAGTCACCCACCTCCAGAATGAGATTCATCCACTCGGTGCCTCACAGTCACCAACAGAAGACATTCCAACACATAGGTGGTGGCCAGAGTGACCAGCACAGAGCGTGGACAGCAGTCAGGTTTTGACTGCTAGTCAAGGAGACAGAGCGGAGATTAGAGGACTGAGGAGGACACCCAGCTCTATCTCTTCAGCTCACTAAAGTGCCACCCCTGAGAGCTGCTCCGGTGGCTGTAGAGAAGCAGAAGGTCTGCCGGATTTGGCCCATGGGCCATAATTTGTTAATAAGCTCAATGGGAGGCCATTGGAAGGTTTTAAATAGGGGAGAGATGAGAGTTGCCTTAAGTGTTTAAAAAGCTAATGCAAACTATTTCAATTCTAGTTATGTACCCCAAAGAATTGAAACCTGGTATCCAGAAAAAAATATGCACATGCAGGCTCACAGCAGCATGATTCACAGTAACCAAGAGGTGGAAACAACTTAATACACATCAACAGATGCATAGATACACAAAATGTGGTCCGTCCACACAGTGGAATGCTATTCAGCCATAATAAAGGAGTGAAGCACTGACACTTACTGTGATGTGGATGAACCTTAAAAACATTATACTCAGTGAAAGAAGCCAGACACAAAAGACCACACATTGTGTGTTTCAATTTTTATGGAACATTCAGAACAGGTAATTTGGTAGAGCAAGAACACAGACTAGTGGTGGCCAGGGGCTGGAAGATTGGGGAATGGGAAGTGACTGCTTAATGGCTATGGGTTTCTTTGGGGGACATTGAAAATGTTTTGGAACTAGATAGAGTTGCACAACATTGTAAAAATATCAAACGCCACTGAGCAGCTCACTTTGAGATGGTTAGTTTTATGAGATACGAATTTCACCTAAATAAAATATAAACAAATAAATTACTAAATAAACAAGGTCACACTAGTTAGAGGATAGAGAATGAATTATAAGTGGCAAGAGGTAAAGCAGGATGTCCAGCTACTGCAAAAGTCCAAGCAAGAAATGATGTGTGCCTTAATGTGTTAGTCCATTTGGGCTGCTATAACAAGACACCCTAGGCTGAATGGTTTAAACAACAGACATTTCTCTCTCAGAGTTCTGGGAGCTGGAAGCCAAGATGAGGGTGCCAGCTTGGTGGGGTTCTGGAGAGATCTCTCTTCCTGGCTTGCAGATGGCCACTTGCTCGCTGTGTCCTCACGTGGGAGAGAATCTCTCATGTGTCATCTTATAAGGGCACTAATCCCGCCACTAGGGTTTCACCCTCATGACCTAATAATCTGCCAAAAGTTCCACTTCCAAATACCATCACACTAGAGATTAAGGCTTCAACATATGAGTTTTGAGGGACACAAACATTCAGTCCATAGCTCTTAGCTAGGGTGGTAGTGTTATCAATGAGACAATGAGACTTCAGTTATTGTCTTCTTGAAGGAAATGTTTCATCAAGAGACAAATGCAGCAAAGCAGGCAAGAATTTACTGGCTGCAGCAAAAGCGTACTCAGGACAGTGGAACAAGGGAGGCCTTAGCATAGGAGAAGCAGGAGGAGAGCCCAGGCTGGGTGCTCTGGCTCACCGGGAAGTCAGAGAAAAGGGGGCCTTGGAGACAGGTTCAGGGGTTAGCCTGGGACAGGCTGCCACTGCCCGTTGCTCCCCTGGTTGCAAGTCTTGTGGGGTGCCTTAGAGTTTAGGGGATGCATGCCTGTGGGGGAAAGAGGAGAGGAAGGAGAAGTGCTGCCCAGAAGGAGAGTTGCATGCTGGGTGCTTCGTGTTGAGGGTATTTGTCTCTGTCTTGCAGGCAGGAATCTTAAGGGGGGTCTTAGGGGAGGGTTTCGCCAGCTTTCCAGCTCTGTCCTTTCAGGGTTGTGGTCTCCACTCATTAGTTGGCGCCAGGGCAGGGGGTCATTAGTCAATGCAGCTGGTCCTGAGACAGCCAAAGCATCACTTGTCTGGTTTTGTTGCTTTTCTGGGCCTGGAGCTGAAACACAGCTGAGGCCGAGATGTTATCTTTAGGGAGGAAAGGCCAAGGGGCCTAAACTGCACGGTGAGCAATATGCTGGGGGTCAAGGTCCTTGTTTTCCCAGTGCTGCCCATTGCGAGGCACCTGGGGCTCTCTGCCCACTGTTCTTGCTCTGCTCCTGGCCGGCCAGCTGCCTGTTACATTCCCCGCTCGGGGCTGCTGGCTCGGGATCCTCTCAGAGAAATGCGGCACAGGGTATCTTCCGTAGCTGCTTCCTGCTGAAAAGGGGTGACTTTCCTTCGGAGCCAAGAGGCCCTTGCTCCCGGTCAGAGGGGCGATGAGGCCTGGGCGCGGAAGGAGGTGGTGATGGTGCCTAGGGGCAGTATTGCCTGAGCAAGAGCAGTGCCTGTAACCTGGCGGAAACAAACTGTGCTACGAACCTCAGTATTATGGGGTCAAGAATTAGGGTGAATGGGCCAATAGAATAAAAAAGTTTTAGTTCTCACCAATTCCAAGTCAAAGAGTGGGAGAAAAACAAAACATTAGTTTGGAGAGTTGTAGTCAAATGTTTGAGAAAATTAGAAAAATTTAGGATCCAGTTAATTCATAGGTGAAAAATAGAGCTTTTAACTGAACTAAAGTCTAATATCCACAACTGTGTATTATGGAGTCTATTGAAATATAATTTTCCCCCTAAAATCATCCTTAATACAGTAAATAAATTGGTCCTTTTATCAAGGAGCCAAATTAAGACCAATTTATTTACTGTATTAAGTCGTTTCCATTTGGCCTGATTAACTGCATAAACACAACAGGAATGGCAATTGATGATAAAGCCTCTTTCAAATGTGCTTTGCTGGAATCTCACAAGGAATGGGAAGGACACGAGATGCACTGGTGAGCTCAGTGGCTCACGACGAGTGTGTGCCCCCAAACCCCAGCAACAAGGGGCCGGAGAGGAAGGAGATCCATTGGTGAGTGTAGGGATGGACAGGCTCTAGCATGAGACCAGGGGCAGGTTACATGGTTAGGTGAGCTGAGTCCGGAAACCTGGGCACAATGCAGGGGACACTCTCTTTCGAGCCCACGATAGGTGTGTGCGTGGGGGGGGACAGAGATGCCTGTTTCTCCCCTACTCTCCTCTATTCTCTTCCAGATGGGAAACCAACCCTCCCTTCCTCAGGACTCACCCCTAGAATACATCCTCAAGAACTGGTTAAAATTTGATTCCCCAAACCCTAAAGAAAAAGATTCGTTTTCTTTTGCAATACCGCACAGCCCTAATACAAATGGGGAACCAGGAGGCCTGGCCGGAGAATGGAAGCCTTAATTATAGCACCATTCTCCGGCTAGATTGTTTCTGCTGTTGCCAGGGCGAATGGACTGAAGTCCCATGTGTCCAAGCCTCTGTGGCCTTAAGGGACAACCCAGGCCTTTGTAAGATTTGCAGCTAGACCTGTTTCGCTAGAAGGTTTGTGAAATGGACGAAGTTCCTGTATACCCAAGTCTTTCTGGCTCTCAGGGATGACCCTAACCTATACACAGCCTGTACTAGATCGTTCTGTACTTGCTACAGAGCCTGGGGGGAGTGGGGGGTGGAAAAGGAACATTCCAAAAATGGATGAATGTGTTTTTTTTAATTATTTGTATTGATTTGAGAGAGAGAGGGAGAGGGAGAGAAGAGAGTATTTGCCTCCCACACATGCCTGGACCAGGGACTGAACCCACACCTCACTGGCCAGGGCCCAAAAATGGGTGAATGTTGTCTTTTGACAACATTGGGTAGCGACCCATTTCTTGAGGTATGGAAAACCACTGTCCTTGTTTTACAAATGAAGCCTTTATGGGGGGCCAGAGGTATGGCTCCAGAAACAACTCAAAGCCCAGCAAATCTTATCAAGTTTCTGGGAGATAATCCTTATTGAAAGGGGAAAACAACACCTTAGCCATTAGAGCAGATCAAATTAACTTATTTCAGCTGTTAAATATTGAAAGAAATTGCATGATTTCGTGATAGAAGTTATAAGGTATGGAGATATTTTTTGAAGGAAAAGGAAGTCTGTTGTTCTAAAGCCGGTTATTTCTGAATGGGTAGAAGGTTTGTGAAAGTTGTAGAAGGTTTATGAAGAGAAATATTGAAAAGAGATTATATAGGTAAGATGAACGATGAAAATTAAATAAATGAATTTAAAGGTAAAAAGGAAACTAGTACAGAACTAGTTTTGTTCTTTCCTACTTTGTTAAAAGGACAAGGATTTTCCTCTTTCTTTCTAGATATAAGGAGACTTATTTTTTAAGACAATTTGGTAAATTATATCTTTTTCTCCCTACCTGATTCCTCCAGAATTTGCCAATCTTTAATGAGTGAGCCATGGTAATATGTTTCTTCGCATGAATTCAATAAGACCAGTCACCAATTGTGGTTTTATTAACTAAGACTTTTAGTGGAATGTGATGTCTGAGAGATATTGTTAGTCATGCAGTTTAGACCCTCCAACTTTTTCTCCCTGAAGATAACATCTAGGCCTCAGTGGTATTTCAGCTGCAGGCCCAGAAAAGCAGCAGAACCAGAGAAGTGATGCCGTGGCTGCCTCAGGACCAGCTGCTGACTAATGGCCTTCTGTACCATCAGTGGAGACCATGACCCTGAACGAGCACACCTGGAAAACTAATGAATATTCTGCTAAAAGTCTCCCCTGAGACCTCCCCTAAGCTTCCTGCCTGGCCTTCGAGAGAAAGAAAAATACCCTCAACACAAAGGACCCAGTGTGCACTCTCCCGGGCAGCACGCTCTCACCTTCCCCCTCCATCTCTCCATCCCCACGGGCACAAATCCCCTAAACTCTAAGGGACCCAAGGAGGTTTGCAACCAGGGGAGCGATGGGCAGCAGCAGCTCTTCCCACGCTAACCCCCGAACCCGTCCCCAAGGCCCCCTTTTCTCTGACTCCTATGCTAAGTCCTTCCTTGTTCCACTGTCCTGAGGACACTTTCGCTGCGGCCAATAGTTTTTGCTTGCTTTGCTGCATTTTTGTCTCCTGGCTGAAATCTTGCCTTCAAGAAGACAAGAATGTCTTCATTGTTGTCGTTGTCGTCTAGCTGGTAATAGTAGCAGTGGGGATGGAAACAGGTGGCTGAATTGGAGACCTGGTTTGGGGAAATTATCATCAGAGCTTGCTGAAAGGTGGGATGTGGGGGACAAGGTAAACAGAGGGTCCAGAATGACTCCCAGGCCCTGGGCTTATTTAACTGTATGGACAGTAGTCCCACCCCATGACTTTGAGTTCCAATTAAAACTTAAAACACACACATGCACATACACATGCACACATGCATGCACACAGTACACAGCCGCACACAATATGCATGTGCACACAAGCATATACACACCCATCCACATATGCACACACACAAACCACTCTTGTATTTTCCATTACTCTTATCATGGTCTAAAACACTATATATTATTTTTTTATTTATTGGGCTCATTGTCTTTCTCACCTGACTAGAATAGGAGCTGTGTAGGACCAGGGACTTTTGTCTCTCTGGTTCATGCCTGTGCCCCCACACCTAGAACAGTGCCTGGCACACAGGAGATGCTCAGTTAATATTTGGCAACCGAGTGAATTAAGCAGCCAAAAGGGAGAGCTGGGACCTCGGTTCCCCAATTCCCACCAGAGTCACATCTTCAGCGGCCTCTGGAAAGTGTGAGAGACCGTATGAGCGAGAGTGAGATGGAGCCAGGGGGGTGGGGGCACAGGAAGGAGAGGAGGGCGAGGGGGAAAGGGGAGGAGCCCAACACCAGCTCTAAAGGCAGCCCCGGGACCCACGGGTGCCTGTCTGCGTGCGAAGCCCAGGAGTGTTGGGCAATTGTGGTTTTCCTCCCAGCCCACAGGGCCCAGTCGCACAAGCCTAGCCTGGGTGCCTGGGGCCTCATTCAAGCAGGCATGGAGGAGACAGTGGTGCGGCCCTCGGTGTTCGTGGTGGATGGACAGACGGACATCCCATTCAGGAGGCTGGAGCGCAACCCCGGGAAACAGCCCTGCAGTGCTGCCAGGCTGGGCCTGGGCGTCCTGCTGCTGCTGCTGGTGGCCGGGCTGGCCGTGCAGGGCTGGTTCCTGCTGCAGCTGCACTGGCGCCTGGGGCAGATGGTCACCTCGTTGCCATTGCCGGTGAGTGGGGCTTGGGGGCTGGAGGCAGGCAGGTCTCCTGTGTCCCTGTGCATGGGTGTGCAGGGTGGGGAACAGACTGAGAGCAGACTGGGGCAAGTTCGTTCAGCTCCCTGAACCTCAATTTCTTCATCTGTAAAATGGGCATTCCCACCTCACAGGGAATAAAATATGATATTGTGTATGTTGTGCCCGTGGTGGCTGGCAGATAGCAAGTGTTCAACCAATGAAAACCAACATTCGTGTTTTTAAAATTAAGATATAACTGCTGTGGCCAGTGTGGCCCAGTTGATTGAGCATCGGCCAATGCACCGAAAGTTTGCGGGTTCGATTCCCAGTCAGCACATGTCCAGGTTTCAGGCTCGATACACTGGTGGAGTGCGGTGGATTGATGTTTTTCTCTCTCCCTCTCCCTTCCCTCTCTCTAAATCAATAAAAACATATTTTTAAAAAATAAAATTAAGATATGACTGACATACAACATTGTGGAAGTTTAAAGTGTACAATGTATTGATTTGATAGATTTATATTATGATTGCTTTTGTAGCATTAGCTAGCATCTCTATGGTGTCACTTAATTATCATTTCTTCTAATTAAGATCTAGTCTCTTAGCAAGTTTAATGTTTATAAAACAGCTTTGTGGTCTGCAGCCCCTGGAGGCAACCTTCTGACATTGTGAATTATTATTAGCTGTCCCTGATCACTATTATTGGTATTGCCACTAATCCACTTTGTCCAAATCGCTGAGCATCTCTCTGCATCAGTTTCCAGTTGGCTGTGGAAGTGACTGTCTGTCTGCTGGCCATGGCTGTGGGTCTGTGTGTCCCATGTCAAGACCATGTGGTTAAGACTTCGTGTCCTGTGTCTCCAGGTCATTTCTTTTGTGTCTGGATCTGGTGGCCACATATGCATTTCCATGTGCCCATGTGAACTGCACTTTCCTGTGTACACACCCCCACATATCCACACACTCGCCTGTCCACAGCCCTTGGGTTGACGTTGTCTTTGTTTCTGGGTCTCTGTGTGTCACAGACCCACCTGGATCCATAAACCATGCATCCATGTATCTGCATCCATGTGTCTCTTGTCAGTGTCACCTAAGCGTCCAGTGTCCATATACACATGTTGGCCTTTATGTCCACATGTCTATGTATCTTGAAATTATTTATTGGATAAACCTTTATTGAGTGCCAAGCACTGTGATATGCTTTACACATATGAATTCATTGAATCCTAAGCAGGCACTCTTCATTTACAGAGGGAAAAACTGAGGCACCATGTGGTTACAAGGTTACTGTGGGGGCTGTGCACGTGGCCCTGGGTGTGTATCTGAGGGTGATGTTGAACCCATGGTCTGCATGTGAGTCTGAGTGATGCCAGGGCATGGGCCCCACAGGTCCTCACTCTGGACTTCTCTTCATTTTCAGGAGGGAGATGCAGGATCCTGGGAGCAGCTAATTCAAGGTGAGCCAGGGTCCCAGTCCCCAGGGAGGGGCTTGGGATGGTTCCCACACTTCCCCCACCCCCATTGCCCAAAGGGATTTGCACAACGGACCCAAAGTCCCACAGGTACCCTTCCCCCAAGCCTGAGAAGCAGAAGTTTGGGTCACTCCGGAAAGGGTGGGGTTGACACCAGGAGGTGGACTTGATGACCTCTAGGAGGATGGCCCTTATCCAACACCCCCCCCCAGCACTGCCTTAGCCTCTGACCTCTGACTCTCTCTCCAGAGCGGAGGTCCCACCAGGCCAACCCAGCAGCACATCTGACAGGTGAGGAGAACCCTAGGTCCTGGCACTGGGTGGGGATCAGCATGTCCTAGGGAGACCAGACAGACACACAAGATGTCAGAGTATTTATTCACAGAGTTGCCCAGAGCAGAGGCACTGCCTGGGTCCATGTGTTTCTAATTTTATTCATTGAATAAAGCTGTAAGCAGGGCTATGTGTCATGCACCATAATACACTTTATACATATTAATTCATTAATTCCTAAACAGGTACTATCCATATCTCCATTTTTACTATCCATATATCCATTTTATTGAGAAGGAAACTGAGGCACTCAGAGGTTATAAGGCTGCTAGGCCAGGGTGGGTTCTGCCTTCGTTCTGGATTCTGCCACTACAAGTTTTGGGGTTTTTTGTTAATCCTCATTTGAGGATATTTTTTCCCATTGGGGAGGGAGGGGCAGAGAGAGAGAGAGATGTGAGAGACACACTGATTGGTTGCCTCCCATATGTGCCCCAGCTGGAGCTGGGGATGGAACCTGCACCTGGGAATCGAACCGGTGACCCCTCGTGCATGGGCTGACGCTCTAACCGCGGAGCCACACCGGCCGGGGCTGCCACTACAAGTCTTGGTGCTTTCACCTAATCACTTAATTGCTCCGTGCCTCAGTTTTCCCACCTGCAAGGGGCAACAAGATGAGTTACGATGTGTAAGAAGCAGGTGACTTCACTTTTCTGTGCCTTGGTTCCCAATCTGCAAGGGAGGATACGGTGAAATTAATGCGTATAAAGTTCTCAAACAGCCTAGCATAGAGGTGGAGGCTCAGAGAGGGGTGGTGACTGGCCTGTGTTCACACAGCAACTTTGGGGCATGTGCTGAAGTCCCCTTTGTGTCCTTCCCCAGGGGCCAACTCCAGCTTGATGGGCAAAGGGGGCCCACTGCTGTGGGAGACGAAGCTGGGCCTGGCCTTCCTGAGGAATCTCGGCTACCGCGACGGCGCCCTGGTCATCGCCCGAGCCGGCTACTATTACATCTACTCCAAGGTGCAGCTGGGTGGCCTGGGCTGCCCGCAGGGGCTGACCGGAGGCCTGCCCATCACCCACGGCCTCTACAAGCGCACGCCTCGCTATCCTGAGGAGCTGGAGCTGCTGGTCAGCCGGCGGTCGCCCTGTGGGCAAGGGACCAGCTCCCGTGTCTGGTGGGACAGCAGCTTCCTGGGTGGGGTGGTGCACCTGGATGCTGGGGAGGAGGTGATCGTCCGTGTGCCAGAGCAGCACCTGATCCGGCTTCGTGATGGCACCCGGTCCTACTTCGGGGCTTTCATGGTGTGAAGGAAGGAGTGGCGATGGATTGATTGGGGGTCTGACTACAGAGGTGCCTCAGGAGACAGAAAATCCAACAAGCGGGGACCTTGGAGGGTATCCCAGGGATCTCAAAACTCAGCAGTTGGGGAGTCAGCAGGCACCACCAGCGGCCAAAAACTCAGCCAGCCCTAGAGGTTGGAGACTCAGCGGGCATCTCTGGAGAGGACTGAAAGAAACTGAATTGCAGACCCTGCCACAGACAATGTTGGAGACAAAGACCCAGAGACTTGGGATCTGGAGGCCTCCAAACAGGGTAAAGCTGATCTGCCTGATATTCAGGATGTAGGGTGGGGTGGTTATTTATGATCTGATTCTGAGGACAGTAAGACTTGGGGGTCCAGGGACTTGACTGGGAACAGGAAGCATCACCTTTTCCATTCTCACAGGTGTGGGCAGAGGTGGGTGGAATTTATCATCTGGAGTCATCCATGTGGAGAGCTCTGCCCCACCCACAGTCACAGTCACCCTCAAGTACCACCCACAGGCTGTGGCTGCACCTCAGCTGGTCACACGAAGTTACACTCAAAGACACAGGCACAGGGATGTGCTGGTAAGTGCTTAACAACCAGCTTTTCCGGGAGGGGAGAGGCTTCCTGGCATTTGCCCATTTCCGTGGTGTAAATGCTTCCACCATGGCTGATTTCTGACTACCCATATATTATCAACCACTGGCTGTATCCGGGCACTGCTGAGCAGTTACATCCCACTAGGATACAACAGCTGTGCTTCAGCACCCAGGCCAGGGCCTGGAACACAATGGGCACTCAGAAAATATTTGAAGACGGAAGAGAGCGAGGGAGGGGAGAGAGAGAGAGAGAGAGAGAGACCATCGCAGAGTCACACAGCTCCACAATCTCACTCTTTCACAGCCACAGACCAAGGAACAAAGCATCAGATTCTTATGCAACTGTATACAAGTCATAGACAGCATCAGAAACACTTGGTCACTGGCCCTGCATGATAACCATATATGATACAACACAGTCATCATCACAACCCCAGGCACCCACATGGGCCACAGAGTCACACACATGATCATCACATCAGACTTCCACATGTCATGTCACAGTCAGACTCATCACAGACACACAGCATCATGATGACAAACCCACAAGCACACACACACACACACACACACACACACACACACACACAGCCTGAGGTTCCTCTTAGCCAAGACAAACACTTCCTGGGGTGAGGACCAGACTTTGTCCATAACCCTGGGCCCCTGACCACTGATCTTGGAATAAATGGCAAATGTCACACCTGGGTCCGTCTAGTCTTAAGGCAACGGTGGCTTGTGGAGACAGAGGAATACATGGAAGGATGCACAGAGTTCACTTTATGGAGAAGAAACCTGAATCCAGCTGGCTCAACTCCATGCAGGAAGACTGGAGGAAAGCCCAGACCTTACACCTGGGTCGGCCTTCCCCTCAAAAGCACCCTTTCTGAGGAAGTGGAGGCGACACCCTGCCCCGCACCCCCCTGCAGCCATCTGGCACAGAGCGGCAGTCTGGAAGCTCAGGGTGATCGCAAGCACAGGGAGAGTGTGGGGGAGGGGACGTGACAATACGCATACAGATGCTCTGTGCCAATGAACACATCCTTCGGTGTGGCTGGATGGAAGCCTTACTTCCAAGGACCTAGGAGGAGGGCTCAGGCCCCAGAGGTGAATAAATTATTGTTATTGTTGATATTGTTGTCATTGTTGCCTAGTACAGGGGTGAAGGAAACAGGCTTTGCAATCTGGCAATCCTAGGTTCCAGTTCCACTCCACCACTTCTGGCTGAGTGTTTTTGAGCAAGTCCTATCACCTCTCAGTGCCTCAACTCTCTCATCTGTAAAATGGGAGGTCATGACAGTCCTTGCCTCCTAGGGTTGTTGTAAAGATTAAATCAGGTCAGGCATGGAAGAAGCCATTTGGTATGGCGCCTGGTACACAGTCAGAGCTCCATAAGTGTGCAAATGCCATAAGTGATTTAAAAATACTAAGAAGACCATTTCTCGGACACTTTCCTTATGCCAGACATTTTGTGTCACATCTTTATATACAAACCTGGGCAGGAGCTATTGCTGTCCCCACGTTCCTGATGTAGAGACAGGTGCTGTCCCTACCTCCTCCCCCCTCCCCAGCAAGGACACAGGGCTTCATGCTTCTCTGCCTTCGCTGGGCTGGTGGGAGGTGGGACAGCCCCAAATGCCTGGCCCCAGCCCCCGCTGGAGTTTCCTTTACTTTCATCATGGTCTTTCTGTTTCTGTGGCTTTGATGAGGAGACCATGGTGTTGGGGCCAATGTATTTATCTTAGCCACCAACTTCCTCCTGGGGATGGAACTCTCACTAACTTTAGCCTCCGAAGATCATTCCTGGGAGGGGCCTCCCAGCCTTGAGGTGAAGGAGAGGAAGAGGGAGAGTGGGTAAGGAGGGTGGGAGAAGTATGGAAAAAGAGGGAGGGGAGGGAAGGGAAGGACCGAGGGGGAGGAGAGGGAGAGGCAGAGACTGCTGCAGCAGGACACCTAGACCCGGTTTCGGATAATGTGTGGGGCAGGAAGTCCCTAGCTCAGGCCACTAACCTACTTTTCAGCTTCTTAGAAGTTAATCTACTTGATTTCCGCTTTCACCTTCTGGTTTCCGTGTCTTTACAGTGTTCACCCTCCCCTCCACCCCAATTAACTCTTCCTCAAGACCTGAACTCTGCCATCCCCACCCTCCCCTCAGTCCCTGGGCAGGAAAACCTCCCCCCTTCTTTTCATCTCTTGTCAAGACTTAGAGGTGGTAGAAGTGAAAATAATGATGATAAAGTCATTTATTGATTTCCTATCATGATGCTATGTCCCTCCTGCTACATCTCACTGCATTCAAATACTGAGATGCATCCTCTCAGAGAAACAGAATGGTTCTTACGCCAGAGCCAGACTGCCTGGGTTCAAATCCCTGCTCTGACATTTCCTAGCTGGGTGATCTTGAAATCCATCTATTCTTGGCTTCTCTGGGCCTCAGTCCCCTCATTTGTAAAACAGGATGAATAGTGGCCTCTACATTTTCCTGGTTATTGTGAGATGAAATTAGTTGAGCCTTTAAGTATTTTTCCCACAGGGAAAACTGTAAAGTTTTGGCCCACAGGGAGCTCTTTAATCCTTAGTAGATACTTTTTGTAAGCATAGTTGTAATCACATGCACATTTAAATTTCAAATTCTTTTCAGCTGTTATGTCAAAGGTGACCTTTCATCCATAGGCCACATCTAGTCATTGAGTGTGTTTTTAAAATGGGAATTGGTAGCCAATACTTAAACATTACGAAACTTTGCAAGTGGACAAATACAGATTTCTGGATTTTCTTGGAAAGCTGGAAACTGACAACAGTCCAGGTTGGGGTAGGTAGTGGCTGTCCCCTTTGGAGAAGGCATGAGCCCACCAGCTCACCGCAATCTCCACCACTCCCAGTTACTCCCACACAGAGGCTGTCAGTTGCCTTTCCTCACCATGCTGTGCAGTTGTTTTTCTTTTAAGATTATTTATTGATTTTTAATTTTTTTTTTTTTTTTTAGAGAGAGAGGAAGGGAGAAGGAACAAGAGGGAGAGAAACATCAATGTCAGAGTGAGACACCAATCAGCTGCCTCCTGCATGCCTTGTACCAGGGATCGAGCCTGCAACCCAGGCATGTGCCCTGATCAGAAATTGAACTGGCAGCCTTGTGGTGCATGAGACAACACCCAACCAACTGAGCCATACTGGCCAGGGTGAGGTTGTTTTTCTTAAAGTAATAATGATTATTAATTATAGTTCATGCTTCTAATGTACTCACTGGGTACCAGACACTGTGCTAAGAGCATTAATTCACAGTAACTCAGTCTCACAATGACCCTGTTAAGATGCCCATTTTATGGATGGGGAAGTCCAGGCACAAAGAGGTTAAATCACTGCTCCATCAAAGGTGAGAAAATAGATGACAACCTGAGGTGAACATGAGTTTCAAGAAAAATAAGAGTTCGTGGTTGTATTAGTTTCCTATTGCTGCTATAACAAATTCCCACCAACTTAGTAACTTTAAACAATACTAATTTATTATCTTACAGTTCTGGAAGTCAGAGGTCAGACATGAGTCTTATGGGACTAAAATCAAGGTGTCGGCAGGAAGGATTTATCCCAAAACCTTTTCCCGGATCTGACTCAGTGGGAGCTCAAACTGACACATGTGTAGGACACATAAATCTCAACTCACCAGGAATGAAAATAATTTAACTTCCTTTTTGTTCCTAATGCAACTTAATTTATGCAAAGATCCTTTTGCCCCAGGGTGCAAAGAAGTTGATATCAGTTAACTGGGAATCACCCTTCCCCACAGGCTCCTTTCCCAAGACTGTCAAAATTCCAGGGAGCTCAGGAAATACCAAGGCATCAAGGGTGAAGGAGGGGTCAACCTGTTCCCCGAGCTCCCTGTCCACGCATGTGCCCAGCATCAATCTGCATCTGACCCATCAGCCCTCCATTTCGTTCTTGTGACCTGTCAAGAACGGTACAGTCTCTGCTACCCTTGAGCCTGGCTGATATTTGATGATAAGGCTGATTTGGAACCAGGAAACTCTTTGAAGCTGTCTGTGGCTTCAACTGCCCAGAGACACCATTGAGTCATTTCCTCTTTGGGGACCTGCAGCACCTCTGGGCTCTGCAATGGGGAGCCCTGCTAGCACTTCTCTGGGGAACTTTCCATGTTTCCAGGGTCCTTTTTTCCTAAAACTAGGGCACAGGAACTTCCTCCCTGTTATGGGTGCTGAATTGACCCCCACCCCTAAAATTCATATGTTGAAACTCTAAGCCACAATATCTCTGAATGTGACTATATTTGGAAATAGTTCCCTTAAAGGGAAAATTAATATAAAATGAGGTCATTAGAGTTGGCCCTAATCCAATATGACTGATGTCCTTACAAAAAGAGATTAGGTCACAGACACACACAGAGGGAAGA